AACAATTAATTTACACTATATATATTTTATTGTTTTTTAGTAATATAAATTTCACAATTTAAAATTTATTTTAATAAAATTAATTTTACAAATTTGTATAAAAAAGAGGTGTACTAAAATAAATGATTGTAAAAAATATAGAATTAAAAGTGCAAATTTTAAAATTATTTTAAATTATTTATTTATATTTTATTTTCGCAATCCACTTTGTATTTACTTTAAATACGCTTGATAATATACATATTTCCTTTTTCTTGTATTAAAAAAGAATCATGTTTATAATAAATTTTTATTGTTTCAAGATAAGGAGACATTAATGGTTGCTATGAAGAGACATGGAGTGAATTAACTTTTAAGCTAGCTTTGCATGATTATATAGATTCTTTAAACCATTCAATGTCTGGAAAAGAAAGAAATTTTATGACTAAATACTGTAAATTTTATAACAAATTATTAAAAAAATATTTTGTGAAAATACTAAATTGCACAAAAATAACAAATTGATTTATTTTTTTTTTTAATTTATTATTCAAATTGAAAAGTACAAAAATTATTTCTTTATTTTTCATTCCTTTTTTCCAATAAAATTTTTTCAGAATTTATGACGATCACCACAAGTTCTAAGAGTTGTCAAATGTTTTAGTAAAGTATATTCTAAAAGTTTTCTTCTCCCTCTCTGGCATTGCTTTAAAAAAAAGCTGTGCTTGAACAAGTGAAACTAATTGAGATACATTCACCTATCAAAAGTATTGGACCAAAAACTTTTTTTTAAAAATTTATTAGCATTTTTCAAAAGTTAATTATCTAAACTACATGAATTTTTTTTTATTGATTCCCCTGATAAAGAGCTATCTTTTAATATCTTGTTTAATTAAAATTGGATGTTTGCTTGTTCAGAAATCTTGTCTTAAATAAAATTAAACAAAAACTTTAAATTAAATTGTTTTATTGTAATATTAGTCGATCTCAATAAATATTTATCGGAGATATCAAACTTAAAACAAGAGCTACAACTTTTATTAGTATTATAATTGATAATTATTAGTTAAAATCGGGACCTTACTTAGTCACGACTAAAAAAGATCAAAATTTGCTGTTGACCATTTTATCATTTTAAAAAAAATACTAATAGTTATCACATATAAAACTTTACTTAATACTAATGAATTATTAAACATATTACTAAGCAATCTTAAAGATACAAATAATTTGCATTTATTGTAGAGATTTAAGATCTATATCATAATAATTGATGGAATAATTAATAATTATTTTTTAAAGCTTAAATGCTAATTCTCTATCAATTTTGATAATTTTTATCTGAAACTGTTCAAGTAGATGCACAATTATATTTCCTTTAATTTTGCTTAAGATTTTTTTTTTTGGAATTTTATTAGCATAAAATAAAGTTTAATATTCTAATATACGATGACTATTAGTAATTTTCGTTAAACAGTGAAATGATCGACAATGGCTTGATTTCAAAATCGTTAGGAATTTTTTACTAACATATTACATAATTTAAAACGCTAATTATAACACAATGAATAATTTACAAAATTGGATACTTAGTTGAGTAGTAATTTTGGTTTAAATAGAATTAATCAAAAATATCAAGCTGAATTAATTATAATAATGTCATTCAATTTTGATAAATATTTATTACAGATTCTATGAATTTGTAGCTCATAATATAGTTTACAACTTTTATTAATACAATATTTAATATTTTCTAATATACATTAGAACTTTACTTAGTAATAATTATAAATATATTTATTTATATATTATTTTTAATAATTAAAAATTTTCCATAATAAATTTAATTGAAATTTATATAATTTTATTCAAAAAATATAAATTTTACTTTTGTTGTTAATATTTTGTTGGATTACCATGACTATCTAATACAGCTTGAACTCTTCTAGGCATACTTTCTACTAAATTTTCTAAAATTTCTGGTTCAATTTTATATCACTCTTCTTACAATATAGCCATTTATTCAGTATGATTTTTTGGATGAGAATGATATTTACAAACTTTTCTTTCTAAAACATCTCATAAATGTTCAATTGGATTGAGATCTGGTGTGTGCAGGCCAAGGAATTTTTTTTTACTGAATTATTTTGCATCCTTTGTTTAACTATTTTTGCAAAGTGAACAGGTACATTATCATCCTGAAAATCATATTCTAAGTTTGTATCTAATTTATTAATAAATGGCAATAAATTATTTTTCAGACTTCTATATATACAGAAACTGTTATTTTGCCAGAAACTTGAACTAATGGTCCAATTTTATTTTTTGTAAAACATTCCCACACCATTACACCTTGATTTCCTGATTTTACTGTTGGAATTAAGTAATTTGCATCATATTTTTCATGTGGAAAATGCCAGACCCAGTGGTGAGCATCATTTTGAAACAATAAAAATTGAGATTCATCACTCCAAATTATTGTATTCTATTCAGAGTTCCAATTTTTTCTAATATTACACCATTATAATCTTTTTTTAACAGTTTGCCTCAGATATCAAAGGTTTTCATTTACCAGCTTGACCCTAAAAACCTTAATTATGTAAAGTATGTCTTATAGTAAGAGAACTTGTTGAAATTAATGATAATTGATTAAAGTTTTCAGTTATTTCTTCTAAAGATTGTTGATAATCTTTATTTACAACTTTAACAAGTTGTCTAATATTTCTTTCTGTCAATTTAAGTGGTCTACCCGACCTGGAAGCACTTGAAGTTTGATTTTCAGACCTATATTTTTCTATAATATTATGGGTTATAGTTTTGAGATAATTGAGAATGATTTCAATATTTCACTCATTATGGCCACCTTTCCAAAGACCAATAATTTCCCCACACACAAATTTTGTAAGCTCTTGAGTTTTAGGCATTGGAAAAAAAATATAATTGAAACTAAAAAGTTATGGGCATGTGGTGTGGGAAAAAATGATTTATTTAATAAGTTATAGATAGTTAGAGAAATATTTATCAGATAACCATAATCATATGATCTAATATTGCATAAATTATTAAAATTTATTAAGAAGCTAATAATAGAAATTCTTCTAAATTTAAAAATATATTTTATAAATAAATATTTGTGGCTTAATAAATTTTTATAGCAAATTTTATGAAAATTCGTAAAAAATTCTTAAAAAAATTTATTAATGCAAATGTTTATAGTTATTTCTAAGTAAAATCCTAATTTTTATTAAGAAATATCAAGTGGTTTTAATAAAAATTTTAGCCTATATTATAAGCAAAAAGTTCATATAGGATAATTGATATCTGTGATAAATATTCATCAAAATCAAATGAAATTACGATAATTCATTCAACTTGATATTTTTGATTAATTCTATTTAAATCAAAATTACTACTCAACTAAGTATCCAATTTTGTCAAAAAAAATGTTATATGATAGCCCTAATTCAGGGAATTATTTTAAAAAAGGTTTATACATTTTAAATTATTCATTGTATTATAATTAACATTTTACATTATGTAATATATTATTAAAAAATTCCTAATGATTTTGAAATCAAGCCATTGTTGATTATTTCACTGTTTAACAAAAATTACCAATAGTCATCGTATATTAAACTTTATTTTATACTAATAAGATGCCAAAAAAAAGTCTTAATTAAAATTAAAGAAAATATTATTGTGCATCTACTCTAATAGTTTCAGATCAAAATTATCAAAATTGATAGAGTAATTAGCATTTAAGCTTTAAAAAACAATTATTAATTATTTCGTTAATTCTTGAGATATAGGTCTTAAAAATATAAATAATTTGCATCTATTATAGAGATTTAAGATTTCTCAGTATTATTTTTAACATTTTATTAGTATTAAATAAAGTTTTATATACGATAACTATTAATATTTTTTTTTTAATGATAAAATAATCAACAGTAAATTTTGATCTTTTTTAGTTGTGACTAAGTAAAGTCCCAATTTTGACTAATAATTATTAATTATTGTACTAATAAAAGGTGCAGCTTTTGTTTTAAGCTACAAGTTCATACTTGATATCTCTGATAAATATTTATTGAGATTTACTAATGTAACAATAAAATAATTTAATTTAAAGTTTTTGATTAATTTTATTTAAGACAAGATTTCTGAACAAACAAACATCTGATTTTAATACACAAGATATTAAAAGATAGCTCTTGATCAGGGAATCAAATAAAAAAAATTCATGCAATTTAGATTATTCATTGGGTCATAATTAGCTTTTAAAAAATGCAAATAAATTTTTAAAAAAAGTTTTTGGTCCAATACTTTTGATAAGTGAGTATACTGTACAGTCACATTGAAAAGTGACGCCCGATTTAAAATTGAAGCAAAATTTTATTTATTTTTATAAAACTGTACATATAAAAATATTCCTGCAATGGTTAATATTTTGCTGGCCTTTCTTTTGCTTCCAGTACTGCATTGATTCTTTGTGAATTGAGACAACAATCTCTTCAAAAATGAAGCAATCCAAATTTTCACATTCTTTCTTTAGTGCAGTTTTAAGTTCATTTATATTTCTTGGAAAGATCTCACAGCTCTGGATATTATCTTTTAATTGCTTCCAAATGTTCTCTATTTGGTTCAGATCTAGGAATTTGCTGCCAATCAATAATTGCAATTTTATTTGTCTTTAACCATTCCTGGTTATTTTTGCAATATGTATTGGTGCATTATCCTGTTGAAAAACTGCAGCCCTTCCTGTTTTTCTATAAACTTTATACTTAAATAGAATTAAATATGAATTTAGAATAGTGATATAAGTATTTGAATTTATTCTTTCATTTCCTTCTTTGTTTTCATCACAATAAATTAATGGACCTTTTATTCCTCCCGCAAAACATTCTCAAACCATAACTGATTTTTGGTCACTTTTAAAAGTAGGTGTCAAGTATTTAGTATTAAACCTTTCCTAAAGCTCTATAAACTCTTATTTGCTGTGACTGCTTTCCAATTTCAATACTTTATTTATCTGAGAAAATAACTTGCATCCAATTGTGAGCTGTTTTATTTTTATGTTTTTTGCACCAATTATGCATGCTTTTCTGACATAAAAGGCTTTTTTCAGCAACACGGAAGTGAATTCCAGTATCACAAAGTGTCTGTTTAGCAGTTACTAAATTATAGTTTAAACTCTGTGTATTAATAATTTCATGCAAGGTGCCCATTGGTTCTTCATAGTTTCATTTACAAGTTTATCTTTTTTATTATTATTGAGAGCAGGTGGCCATCCTGATTGTGATAAATTTTCAGTATTTCCTGTCTCCTTGTATTTGTCAATAAATCTTTATATAGTGGTAGGGTTATACATGCCACCCAAATCCCAAATTATTTTGGCATTTCAGCTGCCAAAATTCAGTTTTCATAGTATTTGGGATTTGGGATTTAGCATAATTTGGGATTTAGAATTTCAGCAATTAGCAATTTGGGATTTAGCATTTTGAATTTGGGTGTCACCTATAGATAGGGTCATGCTCCATTTTTTTTTACTATTTGTGTAGTATTGTAATTTTCCATATATGCTAGTATTTTTCTTTATCTTGAGGAGACATCTTTATGCAATGTGATACCATTTTTTTCACCATAAAACTAATTCATCAAGTCAATATATGTGAAAACCATTTAAAATAATAAAAAAGGGGTATAAATAATATAAACCAGATGTATTGTTACACTATCCAAATCAGGCGTCACTTTCCAATGTGACTGTACATCTTCAAGAACATAAGAAATAAAAATTAATGAAAATGATCTTAAATTATCTATAGTTTTATGATTTCTTTAAAAATTTATCTAATCAATAAATACAATGCAGACAACATAATTTTCTTTTTTCAAAAAATTTAAAGAATTTTATTGATCATACTGTCACGTCTGGACAGCACACAACAGAATTACACAGCAAATCAAGTTCCCAGTCACAATAATAGTTTACACTTCTTC